GGGTGCATTGTACAGCGGGGTGTCTGCAGCACAAGGATGCCATTGTACACAGGACAAACACAAGGGGGAATCTATTGACACTTGTCTGATGGGAGGAAGGCACTTATGCTGGGCACTGATGCAGGCTGCCTCTGCTAACAGAAGAGCACTAAAAAACATGCAACTGTTACAATTCTGAGTGATTTCTGGGAGGAAATTGCAAATTGAATGGCTTGTGGAAGATGCTTAGCGACAGCGACCAGCAGCTGTAGGGCAGTTTCCCCCACTAGTGCAGCACACCTTATTCTGAGCTGCCAGACACCTGCAAGAGACTGAGGAATGACTGTCCCCAAGCAGTCCCTGGCACCTCCAGCCAGGTTGGGACACCCTGCAAAGGGTGCCAGGAGAGAGACAAACGTTTATTTACAGCCAGTCTGTTCATTGCAGAGGTGCCTGGAGTAGGCACCTGGCTGGGAACATCATGCTGTTTGCCCCCTTCAGAGCTGCTCCACTTTGCAGGAAGAAGTGGGGAAGCAGTACTGGGGCTGGCCTGGCTTAGGGCATCCTTTTCCAAGCGGGTTTAGCCTAGCCTAGGAGCAGAGTCCAAGCAGGGAGCAGAGTCCAGCCTACTGCTGCCTCACCCCTGCCAGGAGGAGATTCCAGGCTCTCCAGGCGGGAATGCCGCAGGATGTGGGGGAGGGAGCCAGCTTCTGTTAGCGATGAGTCATGCAGGAGCTGTGCAGGATGCTGTGTGCAGGAGAGGTGATGCAGCGGGGTGGAGAGGACAGGAAAAGGGAAGGAGGGCAGCAGGGAGGAGCAAGAGGAAGCAGCCAGATCAGCCTGATGTAGGCAGAGATGAAAGGTTCAGGGCCACCCGGGGGGAGGTCAGACCAGAACTGCCTGCGGTAGAGAGTGACAAAGAGTCCAGAGAGGCCAGGACGTGTAAATGATTAGCTGCAGGAGGAAAGGGTGTCTGCATGAAAAAAGCAAGCCGTGTTGACAGTTTGTAGGGCTCTGGCTGGCTTGTTTACTTTATTAACAGGATGGCTGGACAGAAGCCAAGATTATTTTTAGAAAAGACCACAGAATGTAAATGAATTAGGCGAGTAGTCTTCTGTCCTGCCTTGCCATCCTTTTACAGCAAGCATAAAAAGCAATAACGTTATAGAAGGTAGGCTCCAGTGGCATCCTGCTGTCCTAGGGAGTATCTAACAGCCACAGCGGTTAACTTCCCAGGTAAAGGTGTTGGCTTACCCCCTCCCCATCCAGGCCTTTATGCAGGCCTAGGGCCTGTGCCAGGTTGATACTGGGGAGAGAAACAGGAGTGAACGAGGAGAGCAGATGCAGCAGAAAGGGGGAAGCCGCAGTTCATGACTCTACATCTTTCATAAAGCAAAATATGGCTCAGCCCACTGGTCCCTAAAAGTAGGGGGGAGTACAGCCCAATTCCACAGAAAACAAACCTGTGCTTTAGTCTTGTTCCAACCTGCACAGCTCACCTCCCTCCTCCTCCTCCTCCAGCCTTTAGGCAGGTTTCTCACAGCTGACCTTGACTGCCTTGCTTCTCCAATCACTGCAGCCTCACTGCAAGAGGCTGCAGCTTACATGCGCTCTCCACAGAGGCTCTAGCAATTTATTTCCCCAAAGCCTTGCATTTCTTCATTTCACTTCAGACTCCCCAGGAGCAAGGGAAGAGCCTTGGGAGACAGACCCAGCTCTAGGGTAGGTAACTAAGATCATTTTCTTTCAGTCAGTGCCCCGGGATCCAAGGGTGAACAGGCACTGAGTTCATGCCACCTGAGCGTTTAGTGGAACTGTCAGATCCCCAAATTGCATCTCATTACAAGCAGAACTCAATATGAAGTGGGATGGATATTTGGGGAATAACATTAGTTGTCCTCCATCCTGACAGGATTATGGAAGAGATGTCCGGATGCCTTGTTTCATTCCAATGCCTAGACATAATGGTTGTTTCCCCTCCCATTTCCCCCCTCCCCCTTTAACTGCTCTCTGCTATTGGTTTCAGCTCCCACTTGCCTTCCCACAATAACTCTGGATGCTAATCTGGTGCTTATCCCAGCTCCCAAATGACCAGCACCTGCAACTCAAGCTGGATGCCTACCACAAGCAACACTTTCTGGTACCTCCTGCCTCCCTGCTCAGGATTACACTGGAGTCCTATATAGCCCTTATATTTCTCCCATTGGGGAAGGCCCACAGGCACTTCAACAGCCCTTGACTTTCACCTTCTTATTCACTGTTTTGTGCAGAGAAACCTCTGCCTTGCTGGAGCACCTTCTCATGTCCATTTGGTGCTCCTGTGAGGCAGCAGCTCCTGGCCTTTTCTGCTCGACCCTAATCCCTGGATTGACTCATCCCAGCCCTGCACACTGAGCAGGCCAGGAGAAGAGGTCACAGGCCTGAAGCCTGCTGGTTGAAGAGAACCTCAGATCAGCCCACTGACAGAGGAGTTATGCGGCTGCTGCCTTCCCACAGAAGGGAAGGCTCATCTTCTCCTTTTGCCTGGAACATGCTTTAGGCAGCCAGACTTCTTGCAAGAGCAGCTCAGGCCGACAGAAAAGGACTTCACTGAACAGACAGGGGCAAAGGCAGGAAGACTTGGCCAACAGCAGCACACAGGTGAAACTGCAGAGAAAAGCCGATGTTGGCAGTCCAGAGGGGAACATTTAGAGGAGATGCTCTAGTTATAGAGTAACCAGCCTCAAGGAGGTGTTCAGAATCGGTTGCGCTCTGAGATGCTGGTATCCCAGAGGGGTGAAAGCCTTTCAAACAGGTTTGGTACCAAGACACAGAACAAAGATTTGAGGTGGAAACAGTGAGCTAAGCTACCCAAATCAGCCTTTCATTTTCAGAAGAGTAGCCCCATCTCCCCCTCTTGCAACAAAGAATTATGCCAAATGCTTCTTTAAAAAGCAGCCTCTGAGGGTCATCCAGGCCCCTTCATCATCTACCTGACCTGCTCATGGGGGTCAGGGGGGGGAAAAAATCTTTTCAGCATTAAACTTGGCCAGACTTGTGACTGCCAAGGTAGCAGAAATGCATTCTGTTCTCAGCTCCTGGTCAGTGCATTAAATAGCATGAATATTACAGCACAAAAATACCTGCATTCTTCAAGGTCACTCCTGAAAAGGCACAGCCAGCCAGTTTGACTCGCCTCTTCCTACTCTCCCAGCCCCCTCCTCCACCAAGAAACACCCAGCAGAACAAAGGACTGGCTGCTTGTGGCCTGTATCCGGATTTACACGGGAGTAATTCTGCAGATTTCAACACAGCCGCACCAGAGTTAGGCTGGCGCTTAACACCAAGCTTATGAATCACATAGGAAATGCAGACAGCGCAGCTTCAGCTATGATCCCCAGAGAAAGGCTGCCGCAAGTTGAACTAGCGGTGTGCCTGAACAGAGATCCCTGCAACTGCCTCCAGCTGGAAGAGCTTAACCCTCTCTTGGACAGTTTCATCTCAAAGCTGCAGCTGGCAGCAGCCCTCGCTTTACAAGGAGGAGCCAATCTGCTGCTCCCTGCATCTCAGCAGGGCAGCGCACCATTGAGACAGGACGTGGTTTTTCAAGTCCTGAAGATGGGCAGGTCTCTCCTCGTGCACAAACTTCTCAGGCTACGCGGAGCGTTATCTCAACAGAGAGAAGGAAAAGAAGACAGAGTGTTAGGCAGAGACCACTGCTCACCCGAGCCTTGCCCGAAGGCCCTGGGCAGCCACGGCAGGGACGCGCAGCAGGGCCCCGAGTGACTCCACTCG